TGTGAACTTGATGTTGTTTGATGAGAAATTGGTGAATTAGTGATGAATAATGGCTTATAATTGGTGTATAATGGGTATAGAATTATAGGTTGTTGATAGATGATGAAACTCTGTAATTGGATGGTGTTTTAGGACCTGTAACATGATAAAATCGCAAAAGAATTAGATTGGTCTATGCAGGAAATTGCAACAGGAAAACCCTGTTCGCTGTGTCGCCGGATGATGAAGGTAGTATCGTCGGGTGAAGATGCGTCGCCAGGCGAAGGTGGGAACAAAGGGAGGCAGGTTCGAGCTAGTTTCTGTAATGCGTCTCTCCAAGCATCGCCGAATGAAGTGTTATGCAAAGGCAGCGTCGCTAGGCGATGAAAGTGTGTTGTCGGGCAACAGAAGGCATAATTGGTTGCCTAAGTTAGAAATCTTAAAATGATCATAACTTTAGTTCTAGATCTCGGATTGAGATGCCATTCAAAGAGTTGGGTAGTTAACGCAATGAAAATTAATTATGTTCAGAAATATGAGAATTAAGGAGTATATTTATGAGACCTAAGTTAGAACATAATTAGGTTCCCTGCGTCGAATCACAATGATGTTTTATTTATAATGATGCTTTGTCTATGATGACGATGTTATGATGATGTGTTTATTACGATGATGATGTTATGATGTTGTGTTGATTACTAAGATGACGATGATATGATATCTTATTGAATTTCTATGATAATATGATGATATATGTGATGAATCATGAATGGTGATGCGTTTTGACTAGCCGTGGTCGTTTTATTATATCGTTGTGCATCATTGCATTCATGGAATGGTTAGGACTCCGATCCAGTGATGTTAGTGCTTCGGTCCAACGAAGATGATAAGACGATTGTCCAGTGAAGGCATCAATCCCATAGTATAGATTGAGCGCAAACTTGTGAAGTGCTCTGGTTCCAAGCGTGAATCAATCATATGGTGGGGATCTCTGGAGATAATGATGAGTGAGTCACTAGTGAAGTTTTGGTACCACATGCACGAGTCTGTGATGTTGTATTACATTCTATGTGACATTGCATAATGATTTATTTGTGATGCTTGATGTTACATTACGTATGATAATATGTTTTCTTGTAATGATGAGGTTGTGAAGGTGTGAGTATAACATGAAGATATAATGATGTGAGAAACCTTGATTATGTGCATATTTACTATGTCTATTCCTTATGTCTTATATGATGATTATGATTTACTCACCTTTTTTTAAATGTTACCTCCACGTGGGTAACACGCAGGTGATCGAGAATAGTTCATAGGAACTTTAAAAGATAGTTTCAGAGTGCGTGTATTTGTTTTTGTTGATTAAAAGGAGTCTTGCTCTGATATGTAACATCGGGGTTGGGATCGAATGATTGGAACTTATGTTCTTTTTTTTTGCTTTATGATGTTGAGTCACCCTACGTGGTACTCGAGATGTTTTGATTTATAAGTATGAGTTATGAAGTATGACTAAATTTTATGAAGTATTATAATGAGGTGTTTTGAACTATGATTTCCACTGCCATGCGTTGAAGAACTAAATTTTGATTATATCTTGTTAAATATTTTGAAAACCCGCTTATGGACAAGATTGTATTATTATGATGTTTTATATGAAGACGTGACACCCTTATTGGTGATATACTCTGGCTTATTTATTATAATAATTGTGAATATTCCTTGGGGTTTAGAAGGGTGTTACACATGAAACACTGAACAATTTCTCCTTCTGAATCTACTTCAGTGTCTCACGATATGTCAAACTCTACAAACCTTCTTGGTATTTGTCTGATTCTTTGTGGCCTTTGAACTTGTTCAGATTCTGGAACAATATCAGATATTTGACCACCTTCAGAAGTTAGATCACCTTTAGAACCTCTACCTTCTAAAGTTCCACTTTCAGAATCATGACCTTCACTAGAAACATGATTTCTACCAGAAACATGATCATCTTCAAAAGCTTGTCCTCCATAACCTACGTCTTCAGAGATTTCCCTTCCAGAAGCATGACCACCACCAGATTCTAGATCATCATCAAAATCTTGATCAGAATCTGATTCACCATCTGACTCATCTTCAGAGTTTCTAGAATCATCATCTGACTTTGGCTCTTCTTCAGAACTGTCAAGTTCTGACTTATCTTTAGAAATAGATTGAGACTTGCTCCAATCCCATACTTCTGATTCTTTTACAATGACGTCTCTGCTGACTTAAACTTTATTCGTTTCTAGATAATAAAGCTTGTATGCACCATTATTGCGGTACCCCACCAGAATCATTACTTTGCTTCTATAATCCAACTTCTTCCTTCTAGCTTCTTGTTAGGACATCTCTTTGGACATGTTCAAACAACAAGTCGAAACATCTTTCAAGCAGCAAAATTGTAACATACCAAATGTCCAGCTCTTCTGGTTAGGACATTACGTTCGACATGTTGAACGTGTATCATACCAGATGTCCTATGCTTCTGATTAGGACATCCCATTCAACATGTTGAGTTTGCAAGTTGAAACATCTTATTCAACATGTTGATGCATAGTTAGTTTTACCAAAAATCATGTCAATCATAATTTCAGAGAAATAACACAAACCAAATCATATCTTTTTGTTAGAGATATTCAAGGAATAAATAAAATATCCAACTGAATCTACAATATTTCTGGACGAAATCAAATCTCAAATTCATGAAGAAAAGCCCAGAAGAATTTCTATATAAGGAGAATACAAAATAACTTTAAAATTCAAGCATTCAAGCATTTACATTAAATTTTTGTAGAGTGCTACATTTTGTGTCTTGTATTCCATGGTATTTCCCTAATAAGATTAGTGTAGAATCTATATGTACACCTCTATGTTTCAGTAACTTGACATAAAAGGCTTGTATAATTGAGTTGTAAAATTCAACGTGTTGATTAAAGTTTATGGCTAGGGTTTAATGGTTGTAACATCCTATAACAGATTGTGTGATAGAGAAAGAAAGTGAGTGGATTCTAAGATTTAGGGGGGGGGTGTGGGGGGCTCTAAATAGAAATTAATTGGTTAGTGTTAGGAAGAGGCATTGAACAACATGAGCTTTTTGTTGCCTTTAAGTCTAATGTACTAAGCTACTAATAGTGAATTTTTTTCTTTGGATTGTGGACTCAACCTTCCATGTGTAGGCGTGGTTTCACGAAACTGGTTATCAATTCTCATTGTTATTTATCATTTTACAAGTCCATCAACTTGTCGTACCTATTATCGAAGCATCGTGTTTGACATTTGCCCTCCGAGGAACATAATTTCAATAAGTAACATAATCTATATTTACTATCTTTTCAACTAAATTATCAGAAGCATTAAATCGCTTAACTACGAGAGATGCATGCTCCTCCTTTAAGGGATCTAAGGCACTATTAAAAGCATTAATCTCCTTTTCAAGTTTTGAAATAAGTTTTCTTTGGAAAGAAATTTTCTTAAAAGCATCTAGAGCATCTTCATGTCTATCACTAAAAACTTCCAAATTTTTTTATAAGATGGTTTAACTTCAGGGTCAAAAGTATATACTTCAGAGTCTTCACTTTTCTTGTGAACCATCAAGCATAAGTTGACACATTCATCATCATAACTTGAACCAAAAGATGAAGAGGGGCTCTCATATTCTTCTTTCCAAGTAATATAGGCTTTACGGTGTTTAGCATGTTTACCATTCATCTTGTAGAATTTCTTATCCTTTTTCTTATGCTGTTTATTGAGACTCGTACACGTGGTTCTATAGTGATCATATTTTCTACATTCAAAGCATGTGACATCTTCTTCATTTCTCTTGTGTTCTTTCTTGTGCGGATGAGACTTTTTGAAATTAATCATATTTTTTTCGAAGTGCTTTAGCATATGTTTTCTCATATATTAACTGTAGTGCTTGACGAATAACCCCATATTTTCTTCTTTGAAAGATTCTTCATCATAACTATCACCTTTGTCCTTATTTTTATTTGTTCTTGACGATGAAGCTTTCAAGAGATAGATCCCGCTTCTCTTTTTTTACTTCTCTTTTTTTCGACTTTACTTCGTTTTCGGCGAGCCGTTTAAGTTCATTCTCATGTTTGGTAAGCTTTCCAAACAGTTTTAAGATATCCAAAGAAATAATATTATTTGATTCTTTTATGGACATAACTTTAGGTTGACATTCACTGCACATAAATATCTTAATTTTGTTAGCACATTCTTTGTTAGAAAATGTCTTTTTCAAGTTGTCTAGCTTGTTTATTAAATGGAGAAAACGAGTTTGCATGGATTATACGGATTCTCCGGGTTCCATTTGGAAAAGTTCATACTCCTCTGTCAATATGTTGATTTTAGAATCTTTAACATCTCCAGTTCCTTCATAAAGGACTTGAAGAGCGTTCCACATAGTTTGTGCTATTTTATGACGTGAGATAGAGTAATATATTTTAGCGCTTAAAGCGGAGATATTCCTCGCCTTCAAATCATATAAAGATTTTTTGGTTTCATCATCAGTCCAATCTTTTAGGAGTTTAACAACATTATTGACTTCATTTTTTTCTATCCATAAATTCTTTTCAACTGACATTAAGTGTATAACATGTTTTCCTTCCAATAAGCATAATTTTCTCCTTTAAAAAGTGATACTCTATTATACCTTTCGGATCATCGTCACCCATAATTTCAAATTTTTGAGTCGCTTAGACCAAATTAAAAAACCGGCTCTAAAATCAATTATTGAATGAAAATATTGACAATAAAAGGTCAATAGGGGTGAAAACCCTAAGTTAAAAATGTTTGAAAACTAAGTTAAAAGTGTAATTATAGAAGAGAACCATAAAATATAAATATTTTCCTTTAAATAAGAGTCTTACCACTGCGTACAATATTCCCTTCTTCAATATTCATCTCTTCACACAAGCTTCTTCAGAAATTGAATCATAAAAATCTCACATCATATTGATCATACACAAAGTTACTGCAATCTTACTATTGAATCAATAGGTAGTTTTGAATGGCTTAAAAACTTTAAGATCAAGAGTAATCCCAGCAATAGAACCAATTGTAGCAGCTATAGTGATTATAAAACAAGCACCACTAAGCAATTGAAGACAAATCCATTTTGAGCTCCACTTTGGTATTTTCTTTTGAACTATATACATTTCCACCGGGAAATAAACAGTTAGAGGCCAAAATCCAATTGCACCAAGAAGTCCAACAATATCATTGAAGAATGGAAGGAGCATTGATACCAAAGTGGCTACTATTACAAAAACTGTCCTCCAAACCAATCTAAAAAGGTTAAGTTTATACCTATTTAAACCGGGAATTGGAATCTTTATGTTCTTGTTCACAAAATCACTGTCTGGGAATCTTTTCGCCGTGTAATTTTCGACAAAAGCAAAAAGGGGTTGACAATAAACTTGGTATGCACCAATAAGGTGGATCACTATGGCAGCATTGGCTATGTCAAGGAGCCAAAATGGGTTATAGAATCCAAAACCGGTTAAAAGATTTCCGGGACTTGAATTTCCAAACGCGGCGTATCCGAAACAACCGCAAAGCATGTAGAAAATTGTTGTCACTGTAACACTGATTATTGTAGCCTTTTTCATTGTTTTCGACTCTGACGGAGGTGGTGCTTTTACCGTGTCCTGTTTCACAATGTAATGTAATTCTTCAAATTTTGCTTGAGCTTAACTTAACCAAAGATTTATAAGGTGAGAAGTGTTTATTTTTATAAATAAATTAAAAAAAATTATACAGAAAAGTATTAAATACCTGAATTTCAATAAGAATCATGGAGAATGAGTAAGCAAAAGCTATGTCACCAAGAGCTTGCAAACTCCCCCAAGTTTTCTGAGCTTTTGTCACCTCGTTTACTCCAGTAATGGTTCCAGCAAACTTTTTGTTCTCTGATATTATTGTCCAAATATATTCATTAAATATCCATATAAAAGTGATCATATAATTGTTATTGGTTTAGTGGTGATTGATACTGGATTTGATAGAAAAAAATGAGCATTTGGACTTCATAAAAAGGATTACGGTTTAATTTCTCCAACTACAATCAAAAGTCAGAATTTACTTCCGAACCCAACTATACACAACAAAAATAGAAAGAAAAAAAAAAAAGAAACATTGGTTTTACAATAGAAATTTCATACTAATATACCTATGACTTTTCCAATACCAAGGCCAAGACCAATTGTGGAATATGTAAAGGACATAACAGCAGCAACAATGGAAAGCCACCATAATTGATCAAAATCAGGAATTTGAGAGAATATAATTTGCACAGCACCAAATGCAATCATGTAAACGTTGCTGTTCATATGACATGGATCTTTTCCTCCACTCCTATGAAAACAATTTGACCTTACAATTGCCCTGTTTCATACACAAATCAAAGTCAATCAGACCATTGATTTTCCTTCAAATCAGATTTCTTAGATAAAATTTCAATTAAATTAACTTACATCATGCTTATGGCAGAAGCTACCGTGTATCCAATTGCAGTTCCGACAAGGTTGAGATACTGAATTAGCCCACATAACTGGACTTGAAAACCACCTGAACAAACATAAACACATAAAACATAAAACAACAACAACCAAGCCTTATTCCACTAGTGACATGGATGAATCATAAATTACCGAGATTTGAATGAACAACTTCCATGTAAGTGTAGTTTCTCTTGCCATTGACGGGATCGCCATTACGATAACATTCACAGAGAAGAACGGAGGTGTAATAAGTAACCCAAGCAAAGAGAAACATGACAATAGGACCAGCAATCCATCCAAGCTGAGCTATAGCCCAAGCTAGAGACAGCACTCCAGATCCTATCACAGCTGTTATTACATGGGCACTTGCCGTCCATGATGTGCCTGCAACAACATATTACAATTTGAGTTGACTCTAACTCAGCACGACCGAGTTAAAGACAAGAGACTAATTGATTACCGGTTCGTTTGACGCGACCATCGTCGTCGAAAAACTTAGAATCTATTTGTTGATCAATGGATAGATCAAATGTTTGGTGATGATTGTTGCTACCACTTTTCTCAACAACCATAGTAATTGTTGAATTTAGTGAACACCAGAGAGATGGAGTATAAAGATGGTTAATTATGAGGAAGAAGGTTGTGTAATTAGAAAGTTAAATTTAATGAAAATGAGCTTATGAAAGTCAAGAAACACAATTGAATATTAAGAGTTTGGAAGTTCAGGCAAAAAAGGTGATAATAGAAGTCAAAGATTAAGGAAGAGATACGAAGAGGTTGTTGTGTTTCTCTTTGGAGACACCTGCTCTATAATATTAGACAAGTTGAATAAACGTGCAAGTAGTTTATTTATGCAATGAAGGAAGATGGTGTAAGGGGTTTTATATATAGTACAAGGGAGAGAGAAAAAGAACATTTTTGTATTTGGATTCTTTGGTGTGGGTGTGGTGTGGCATCTTCTATAGCCACGTAAGTTGTGAATGCGATTTAATGACAAAAGGAGAGAATATGAATTCTTGTGTAAGAGGTTTGTTGAGACTAGATAGAGTAGAATAGTGTTCTAAAACTTGAGAGCATGTAGACTTGAGTATGGTCGGATTTTTTATTTTTATAATTAATTAAATTCAGGAGAATTCAAACTTCAGATCTTTATGAGAAGAAAACTAAAAGCCTTCACCACTCGTCAGATAGTGATAAATGAATTAATTTATATAAATTAGAAATAATAAATATTTATGAAATAAATTTTTTGACTTAAATTTCTTAACTATAAAATTTAAAAGAATAGTTCTACTAATGCAAATAAGTTGGTTACATTTTTTCATCAACATCCAACTTCTAAATATAACAAGTGTCAAATATTTTGCGTTTGATCGTAAATATTGCAGATAGTAAGAGTCGTCACCGACATTTCATTTATTCAATAAAAGAAATGGTGAAAAGAACAGGAAATATCTTTTGAGAATTTTCTTGAGTTCGGGGGTAGGTTATGAAAAGGGAAGGTGTTAGCACCATTTTCATTCGTAGTTGTCTACAAGCTCTTAATTGCTAGCTCACTTTGAAATGTTTTGTATTTGTGTATGTTTGAAAACATTTTGAAAAAGCCTAAGTGCAACAATTTTGTAATGATTCTCGTATCGTTGAGAATGTATATAAAATATTTGTTTTGAAAATATTTGTTTAAAGAGTGTTTGGAAAGATGTTTTTAAAATGTCAATGTAAGACAATTTTGTAATGATTCTCGTATCGTTGAGAATGTATATAAAATGTTTGCTTTGAAAAGTGTTTTGAAAATAGTTGTTTTGAAAGTGTGAAAAGTGAAAGTTGTTTTAGTTTGTGAGCAAGCGATTACGAGCTATCTACATACTCAAAAAGTCTTTGTCATTTTCCCCCTCCTTTAGATAGTGTTACTCTACTATTAGTTAGTAGGGAGCCCTATCATTGGGTATGAGGGACATGCGTGAGTCATTGTACAGTCATAAAAGGCAACTTGTGAGACGCTTTAACAATTGTTGTAAGAGACTAAGATCATTTATTGAAGGCAACATCGAGGGACTATGATCTTTTAATCGAGGGTCTTTTGCTAAAGTGTCTCACGTTCGAGGGACATGACTGTTTATATCCGAGGCAACAAGTGAGGTTAACCCTAGAGGTGTAACTATGCAAAGTGTGTTTGATTCAAATATTTGTCTTGGATTAGAGTTTTGCTATGTTTGCTTTTAGTCTTGCCATACAAACCATAATTACTAACAGTAATAAGGGAAGCGATAAATTGCTGAATTTAAATGTCCTACGCTATTACAACACTTTGGGAATGGGGGATACAAATTTGTGAAATAGGGAGGAAAGCAATAAACCTTAATTATCTATTACAGATCATGTACATAAATAATAATGCGAAATAATAAAATGTGCAAAAGTGTAAAGTAGAGGAAAGAAAGAGAAAATGTTTTTTGGTAGAGAAAAAGGTTTATTGTTTTAACCTAATTGATTGACTTTATATTTAAAAGAAATTAGTAAACCTAAACAAATTAAGTTAAGATAAAAAATTAATTTCATTAGCTAAAAAAATAATTTAAATATAGGAAAAAAACCTAGGTCTAAGTTAATTTAAAAGGGAAATTAATTGTTAGAAAATATTTTGAGGTTTTATTTAGGAAATATTTGAAGTATAAAAATTAATTCTAATTAATTAAATCAAGGTGATTGAATTTAAAACATTTTTTAATCATAAAAAATTAAACTACATAATTAAAAAAAACACTAAATCTAAATTTTATGATTTTATGATTTTGTTGTTTTGATTTAAAAAAAGAAAAGGATTAAAAGAAAAATAGGTAAAATAAAAAAGAAAATTAATTGAGTCCGTGTTGTAAAAGAAATCAGATGGGTGATGAAAAGGAAAATAAAATGTTAGGCCCAAACAAAATTTTTGTTGAATCAGGAAATAAAATTAAAAAAAAAGTTAGAATGGGCCTGCTATATAAGAAATTAAGGGGGATGAGAAAACAAAAAAAATCCAGGCCCAACATAGAGAGCTCTGTCGCTGTTTGTAATCCAGTGGTGATAGCTCTAAGGGGTGCACCATGAGCGTGGATTTCTGAAGCACTAGATCATGGAGTTATGAGATCTGATGGTCAAGATGTAAAGTATACCATGCGCGTTATTGCCTTGTCTGTATTGAATCTGTGAGAAATAAACATGAAAAAGAAATATGTCCCACGCCTGGCTCGAACCTGTGACCAGGCATATGTATGACTTAGAGCAAGCGTGCTGCCACTGGGGTGGATGTTACATCTAGTGATAAAACATGTTGCAATAATTATAAAGTAAACTTGTTTTCAAAAATTTGACTTCTTCTTCTTCCTCGCGCGCGTTTACAGCAACAACAACAACATTGTTCAAACTTACAAAATCTTCATTTTTCAACCATTTTTAAAAATGTAAACATGAAAGTTGCTCCAAATTTTACCATGAATTCAACCATACCATTAACTTAAGCTAAAGCTTAAAGATTAAAGAGAATTTCTGTTGGTACCAAACTGAACCCTAGTTTTTCTAAAACTTCAAATCCAAAATTCTCATCACTCAGGCAAGATAAATGAAATGTAAGCACATGGTTAGCTTCAGGGCAATGATGTCTACATTTTTTATTCAGAAAGTAAATATTAATGATGCTTGTACAGAAAGTTCAAAGTTTAGAAAACTTACCTCAAAATTGAGAATCGTGTTTGAATTTGGAGCACTTCTGGAGATGCTGTGATGATCTGAATAACTTTACTGAACTCCCGGGAAGCTATTGTAATGCTTACTTTGGATTGAGATGGTTGAATTCTTCTGGAGAAGTCAAGTTGTAGAGCCCTATTTTTGGAAATGGAGGATAATGATGGAGGGATTATAAAAATGATTCAAGTATTTGGATCACTTCTGTATGGTGTATAGATGATGTTTGAATGATTGAAATGGAAAACGCACGAGTAGATTAAGAGTTTGGTGTTCAAAGTCAAAAGTTACAACAATGGATGATTTATGTGCAAATTCTGATTTCAGGAAGTTTTAGAGAGTTAGAGGACTTGTGAACTCTTTTCTAGCTTGCGAATAGACCTCTCTATTTGTAGAGAAAGGTTGGAGGGAAGGAGTTGATCAGATTTGCAAGATCACATGTTGTGGCTAGGTTGGATTGTAAATGAAGCAAGCTTGAAGATCATAGTTCTAATGTTAAGTACAATGCAATGTAGAGTGGTTAGAGGTTTTAAACACAATACTTCTGACTTTTTATATGGAGTGTGATCAGAGGGAACAAGTTAGAGGCTCAAGGAGTTGATATTATGTATAAAGCTCGCTTTTCAAGAATGACAATAATGCCTTTCTTCCAAAAATGGAAAACTGTTTTGGACAATGACTCAAACACTTGGATAATGGCTCAATAAATTGTGTAAACATTAAATTATGGAGTGATTTTCAAGTTAGAAGGCCTGCAAAGCAAGATTATGCAGCTTAGCATGGATATTGAATTATGTGTTTTTCACCAAAATGACTTGTAATTCAAGTTTATCATGCCAACTTCAAGTCTTTGAATCTCCTAATAAAAAATGACCTCTTCAAGTTCTTGGACATTTTGGAAAGCTTGAAACATTGTCTACAACTTTCTTGTTGACCATTTTGAATAAATTAAATTGGAACCTGATGAAAATTTTCTAAGAAGTTGGGATAAAAATCTAACCAAATTTGTTGAAAATTTTTCTAAGTGTTTTGATAAAAATATTATGACTTCGTGGGCCTATATCTCCTAATCCAAGCATTTTTTGGACATCAACCCTCAAGGACCAAGTTGTAGAATTCAACATTCTCTACAACTTTCATGTTGAAAGTTTTCCTTGAGTCATCTTAGATCTTAGTGAAAAATGGTCATGAAGTAGTGAATTTATCAAGGTCAAAACACTTAGAATTTTTCTATGTATTAGAAAATTTTGACTTTTTGTGGACTTTTCTTGACTTTGTTGATTCTTGTTGATCGATTTTGATATTTTTGAATGTCTTGATGATTCTTGATCTTTGAAATTCAATGTTGACCAAAAAGTCAAAGTTTGACTTTTTGTGTGATTGTTGACTCTTCATCAATTGATCCAAATTTCAACTATCAATCCCTTGATCTTTGGAAAAGATTTGAGCCATGAAATTAGGTAAAGATATTGTGTTTTAGTCCTTGAGATCATGCCTCAAGCCATTAGGTTATGTACTAGGTCAAAAGTCAATGATCAGTCATTCTCAATCAAAACCCTAATTTTGACAATTTTGCCTCTTTGATGATTAGAGTGCTTTCCTTGAGGAATTATGATAAACACTTGATAAAATGATGAATTTCACCTCCAAATGTTGATTTTGGAAAAAAACCTTGAAGTTTGACTGTATGTTGACCATAATTGACTTTTTACTCAATACAGTTGATTTTCAGTCATCTGAGCAATTGACTGAGCAAAATTGTGATGCAAGACTTGAAGCTTGGTATGAGAATTATTGGAGACTTATGATGAACCATGAAAGTCACTTGGGGCATTATAAGTCCAATTTT